TAACAATTAAAAATGAACTTATGCATACAGTTTTAATTGAACAACTTGTTAGCTTTTTAACTATTTTGATGTATTCTGTATTCTTGAAGGTTATTTAGTCTGTGCTATAAATCAATACCATTTTTCATAATTTGAAATAACGATATAAGCTTTGTAATTGTGATCTAAAACATTATTTAAAATATTTGTCAAGGTTTTAAGATGTCGTAATTCTGCTTATTACGTTAATATGGATATCAAAAATAAGGGTGTTGCATTAGCTCGACGACACGACGGCCATATTGGTAAGGTTATTCTGTGCAAATTGGACGAAAATATAAGAGGTAATGAAGACTATATTTTATTAAAGCATAACATGGCTGTGACGCCCTTAAACTATTCAATGGGACCCCATTAAATTAAAACTGTAATCATTTTTTTTTAATAGCAAAGCTTTTAGATATATTTTAAATCTTACTTCTCACTAATATTATAAATGCGAAAATTTTGATGGATGGTAATTTGTAAGAGTTTGTAGACTAAACGGCTGAATAGATCCCGATGAAATTTGGCATAGATGTAGAGTATAGTCTGGGAGAACACATAGGCTACTTACATTTTTTTAATTCCAAGCGGAAGGAGTCGCGGACTAAAGCTATAATATTATAAAATATTTTAAAACAACAATATTCCTCTCTCGTAGAACAGTTCAATCAAAATTTCAAAGACAAATTCAAACAAAGGAAAGCAATTTTAAACGAGCTCGGTATTGGATAAAAGTTGATTGATGATTTTTCACTCGCGGCTGATGACTGCTACATATAACTTTATATTTATCTATTTTAATAATTTCAAATGTCAGATATTATAAGCATGTAATTTTACAAAAGTTTTTATTTTACAATGGACGTCCACTGTAATCTCATGCTCTATTAGTAACTGAAAAAAATAATATGTTTTTTACTGGTATTTTCACATTAAAAACCAAGGGTTTTAATCGAACCAAAGATGTGCGATTGTGCGGATAATCTTTGTTGTGTTGGTACCCAATTTTTATACAAAATTCAATTTAAGAACATAAACCACAATCAAAGGAACTATATTACTTTAAAACTTTGCTATCAGATATACAAAGCGGAACAAAACTTGCCCTACGTAAAAGTTATTAGATAAAACAGCGGTAATATCATGACCCAAACGCGGTAATGCGACAAAGAGATTGCCTTTATAACCCTAAGGCATATTACGATTGGTCTATTGAAAATTTACGATAATTATACAATGACTTCATACATTAACACATTATTTTCTAGGATGGTTAGTACTAGGCGCACACCGTTGACTAAACAATTGCAAAACTGTTGTGCGATTCTCGATTGTTTTGCAGAAAATTCAACTATTTAGTTGCACAACTAAAAATCGAGTAGTGTGCGGACCTCCATATAGGCTCATAGGAATTGAAGCGCGATTAATCAGTGGTGGTATAGTTTATTCAATGTGTGTGTTGAGAGCGTGCTCTAAGTTGAACTGAATTGTTTAGACCAAACTGTCTTGACAAAATTATCATAGGCTATTGCCTACATTCCACTTCTTGATACATTCCAAACTATTCTTTAAACAAAAGCTTGTTTTCTACTATTCAAATGGTTTACTTTGTTCAGTGTCATCCCTAGTAAGTAGTCGAATTATTTTTTTTAAAACTGTTACAACTGCTTACATATGTTAACTTTGAAAGTTATATTAATATGAAACTAAACTAAATATTGTGAATAACGCGCCGTAAACTTTCAAAGTAAATTCATTCGACGATAAATGTTGAAAAGTTTGATATGAAACCGCGTTATTGAAAAAGTTTCGCCCTTGAACTTCCATTACTTTTGTAAGTAAATATGCTGGTTGTTAAGAATGAATTAGATGTCAATATATCAGTTTACTTAACCGTTACTAAAAATAAAGTAATTAAAATTACCTAAGACTAGCATTCGCCACGACTCCGGACTCCGTCCGCATGGAATTAAAAAAACAATAGTGAGTGTGAATGCCCATTTATGGTATAGTCATTGTGTAAAAGATAAGAGAAATGGTGTTTAGACATTCAAAATGATTAGTAGATTACACAGGTGTTCATATTGTTATGTTATGAAGTTATGATACGCAGATTTAAAATATTTTGCAAATTATAACCTGTGTACATAGTGGTCTCAAACTTTTGGCCGGCAGTGTATGTGTTCTTCCAGACTCTACTCGTACATCTGTCAAATTTCATCGATATCCGTTCAGCACTTTAGACTACAAACTAACCAACATCCATCCATATAATCTTTCGTCTTTATAAAATTAGTTAGATGAAATCTCACAATAACAACCCAGTAATGTGATATGACGGTAGCACGAGTAATGGAAAAATCTATTTATACGAGCAAGCCGAGCCGTGTCAAACTGTATTCCCCAGTGCAGAACACATATGCGCTGTTATTGGAAAATATTACTCAGAACATATTGTACACGTACATTCATCTCTTATGACATTTATTACCCATACAATATATTAAAATATACATAAATATTGTTTTTATTATTAACTATTAATTGTAACAACTTTTAACAATTAATATAATTGTAACTAGTGTAATTAAACAACACTCAGAACTAGAGATCTCGCCACAATGGCGCGCTTAATACGTCTAATGACATTGACAGCTGTCAGATAGGGACGGGACGTGTCTGCCAAAAATATAGTGTTGCGCCAATCCTTAAGCGCAATGTAGATATTCTTCTCAACGTTAATAATTTTAGAGACTGTGTTTAATACTTGAAAATTTAATGCAAATTAAAGCACGCTAGAATTCCGAAACACTCGCATAATTACTACTAAACTATGATTGTTTTATGAATGGTTTAGTATGTAGTTAACTATCTCTAAAAAAGTACTAACTGTTCACACAAAGAGGAACCATTACCATTACATTTTTTTTACTAGCATTCGCCCATGACTTCGTCTGCATGGAATGAAAAAAAGTAGCCTAACAGAATTTCAAATTCCTTGCAGCTATTAAAATTTTATTACATGCGTGTAATATGGATTGTTTTACTATTTATTTTAATGAACAAAGCTTTAATAAAAGACTAGTTTTCGACTGCTACTCCGTCCGCGTGGAATTATAATAAGTTATTAGCTCATGTTCTTACAGACTATCCTCTACATCTATGTCAAATTTCATTGATATTCTATCAGCAGTTTAGGCTACAAACTCTAACAAACATCTTTCTAAAATTTCACATTTATAATATTTTAGGTTATAGACCTCAGCCGCCATCTTTTAACGATTATTGTCTTATAGCACGACCATCGATGCTTCAAGTTTTAGGCATATTTGATCCAATTAATGTAATGAAATCATAACCTAAAAGGCCTTATAGTCGCATAACTTCCTTCATATTTCGATGTCAGCGGTACTTAAAGGTTATTGTTCATTATGGATAGTACTTAATCAACTTAAAAGGAAATGGTGCGTTTTACAAGTATCTTACGCAGTGGGCGGTTGGGAATCTCTAATGGAATGCGTTCGTTTTAATATTCATTAATTCTGAATAGTGGATAATGAAACGAATCTTACTTATTATAAATGCGAAAGTTTAGATATATGGATGGATGCTTGTTAGAGTTTGTAGCCTAAACAGACGGATCTGGATGAAATTTGGCATAGATGTAGAGTACAGTCTGGAAGAACACATACTTGCTTTTTTTTTTCCACACAGAGGGGTCGCGGGCGAAAGCTTGTATTTCATAATATCAGAAAGACGCAATCAAATTTATTAATTATCAACCACATTCTGTTTTACAATTGATTATATTTGTTTGAAATCTTACTAATAATATAGATGTGAAAGTTCGGATGAATGGATGTTTGTTGTTTGTAGCTTAAACTGCTGACTGGATTTCGATGACATTTGACATAGATGTAGTGGATAGTTTCAAAGAACACATCTCCATTTCCTTAATACGGAAAACAGTTAGTAATAAATGATTGTGCAGTCAGAAATTATAAGTTACCATTTTCATTAAATTGTAAACATTTTAATGATACTATAATATACTTCTTCTTCATCAAAATTGGACGACTGCGCTGGGCAGGACATATTTCCCGCATGGATGATTGCAGAGTTCCTAAACGCCTGTTGGAAAATAAGCCGGATGGACGTAGAGCGCGTGGTAGGCCGAAACTTAGATGGCTAGACGACGTCGAACGCGTTCTTAAGAACATCGGCGTCAAGGGCTGGAAGCAAAAGGCCCAAAATAGACAGAATTGGAGAAGTTTACTGGACCAGGCCCACCCGCGGCTGTAGTGCCTCAGATGATGATGATATATACTTCTAATAAATAACTAAGAAAAGTTAAAACTTTTAATAACTTACACTTAGCTGTCAGCAAATTGATTTTAACTTACTATTACCATTATTCCTTGATCAAAGTTTAACTAAGTTAACGTAGTGTCGTTAAGTGTGAAGTGTTACAACTAACAGGTTCAAGAGTACCTTTTTACTGTTAAGTTTTTTCTCTAATGACGATTAACTTAGTAAAGATTTAATTGAAGCGGGAATAATAAAGTGATGACTTAATCACTAAAAAAGGTTAGTGTGGTATAAGGATAACAGATTAAAACAATCGAAAAAGCAATTATTTTATATAATTTCACGAATACCTAAATCCAATCAGGGCAATGGCCGAACGTGAGATAGATTACGGGCTTAGATCCGATATAAATGGATTTTGTTTAATCTTCCTATTTGTTTTTAAAGATCTTTGTAATTGCTTGCTCTTTATCATAGTTTTTTATAATAATAAGGAGGCAAACGAGCGAGCATTCGAATGTTTGTTACATATCTTCAAAACAGTAATATATTTTGATAATATTTGGCATAAATGAATAGTCTGAAAATACGTAGATTTCTTTAAGTTTTTTTTTTAATTCTGAGCGGATGACGTCACCAGAAAAAGTTGCAGTAATAAAATCAACGTGTACCTTAAAATCAACTTTATTAACTTAAAACTATAAAAATACAGAATTAAATCTATCTACAAAGTTTTTTTGGGATACTGGTTTTTATCTTTGTGATTCTATTGAGTATTTACGAGTAAATACGATACATCTATTTTAAATATAACTAAGACTTAATTATTTTAAGTACATTTCAATGTAATTATAACTTACTAAGTAGATAACTTATTTAATGTGTTAGTCCATGGCTGTTTATCCTTTTTATAATAAAATAAAAACTGACCTCGGTTAATTTTTTAATCTACAATTTTCTTATGTTTTTATTTTTTATTATTAGTTAAATATTGTTTTGGATTATAACTATTATTTAAAAAGGTACACTTTAGACATAATGTTCATGTTTTTGTAAACGTATTTTTACAATTAATAAATATTGTTTTTGCATCCTCAAACTTGTTGAGATAATTCTTGAATATGGTCTAATTTTCTGTTTTAGCATAACCTGTATAAATTTTCAGGTGTCTAAGGTATTGAAAAAAGTATACAAATTTCGGCTTACGTTATTATAAAGTTAAATAAAGACGGATTAATTCTATTTGATAGAATAAGTGAGAAGTTTTGAATTAGTTTCTTGCTCGTTGACGGCCGGGCTGACCGTCGGGGTACTCAGGTCGCTTCTGTTGTTGACCCTGTAAAAGAAACACGTAATCAAATACAAAAACTATTACATATGTCGAAAAAATCTACTTTGATTTTACGGTAAATTGTGATTATCCAGTTTTATAGTCTAGGACAAAAAAAAACGTTGCAATATTGCGAAAAAATACATCTTGAGAACATTAGAAAGGGAAGTAACAGAAAAACAATTGAAGCATCCTCACGCTAGGATATTTATGTTCTTGATAAGGCAATAAACTATAGCCTTATTGTTAACATTCACTGTGACATAATCTTACTTCTTACTAATATTATCAATGAGAAAGTTTAAATGGTTGGATGTTTGTTAGAGTTTGTGGTCTACCTGCTGAACAGATCTCGATAAAATTTGGTAAAGATGTAGAGGATAGTCTGGAAAAACATATGGGATTCATAATTTTGTTATATTTTTTAATTCCACGTCGGAGTCTTGGGCGCAAGTAAATACTAGTTATAGGCCGCGACTTTTACGACTTTTATAAAAATAATACAAGTGTGACAGCAATGAAATATTAAGATTATCTTTTGTTTATGTTTAAAATACACATTCCCATGTTTCATATTTCCCATCTTTAATCATCGAATTCAACAAGTCGAGCGACTTACCGGTCTTGAGTTCTCTTCTTCTTCCTGTGGTGATATTGTAGTTGTAGGGATCTCGCATTCATCAGTCGGAGGTACCACACATCTTAGTGACCGTCTGTCGAAGACTAGCATGGCGGGACAGCGCTGCAAGCGTGGGTAGCCTCCTTGACATTGCCAGTAGCGGTTGCATGATTTACCCAAAGGCACGTTACCGTTCGGGTCTTCGTTGCAGAGAGCTGAAATACGAATAGATAAATGAAATTATATTAAACTCTAATACTTTTAAAGTTGAACTAAATTCTCGTTTAGAGCGAGTAAATTTGACTAAACTATCTCACAGTCTCTAGTTGTGCGATTGTCGATGGTTTCGAAGCAAATTCAACTGTTTAGTTGCACAACTAAAAATCAAGTAGTGTGCGCACTTCCATATATGCTCATAGGAATCAAAGCAAGACTAAACAGTTGTCAGATAGTTTTGTTTCAGGTGTGCGCACGCTTTTATTAGCAAAACATAAAGATGGTTTAGTTAACGAAGTCCGATGATAATACCAGTAATTGCACTTTTCGTTTATTTAAATCCTTTGCTATTTATAATATCTTTAAAAGTTATAAGACTGCACAAAAAGCATAAGAAAAACTTGTAACTAAATGCAAAAGGTAAAAAGATAATTACGTGACTCGTATTTTTTATCTAATCAAATTCGATCAATGATTCCGAATGAATTCTTGACAATGACCCAACAATCGGATTGCGATGCATCGGATCAGAAATCGATATCTCGTTGTACGTGAGTTGTGATTCGATTAATGTTGTGAAGCGTGAACAGTTGGCTTTGTCTAAAGGTTAAATATTTGCACAAGGCAATAGAGCGATAGAATTATTTGTTTTAGTGTAAATTATAGTGCTAGAAGGTTGAGGAACATTTACATTCAATTACGCTCCTGTTTATGTAAATTCATAGATTTAAAGGCTTTTAAAGGTCTTTAGAACCAAGATGTGGTTAGTTTAAAGTGCTTTTTTTCTATTTATTTTTTTCAGATATGTGTTGACATTTAGTTTTAAATTGAATGAAGTATATAATTGAATAAAAGATTAATGAATGATAAGTCGTGTCTTTCTCCGATAATGGTTAATTTGGCAGCTAATTTTAACTACTTCATTTTTATTATTAATCAATTACGAAACACAGCAATGGCGTCGTGACATTTGCGTGTGCGGTCACAGTAATTGATGTTACTTTCGAACCATAAAAAACAATCGACAATCGACCGAACTTAATCGTTTACGTAAGTACATTACTACTTCATAATTCATCAGCCGTGCTGTACTATTATACGCTTTATTTCTTAATATAATTACGGTGAAAGTCGCGTGATTGATGAGTGAAACGCTAACGCGCTTAACGTTTCACGGATTACGAAAATTACTGAAAGAGCACAACGCAAAGATGGCCGATTTTACGTTAATCACTGTAATGGTGCTGTTCATTTATTTACGCATCCGTCCATTACTAATTAAAAACCATTTTTCAAACATTCCAAAAAAGAATTATATTAAAAAGAGCTTATCTACGAGTATACGAATATTATACAGAAAGATTTGTATTTTTGTTTTTATTTAAACTACTGTACCGATTTCAAAATTTCTTTCACCATTAAAAGACTATGTTATAAGTGAGTAACATGGGCCATTTTTTACCGTTTTTATATTCCACGTGGAAGAAGTCACGAGCAACAGCTAGTTCTTTATAAGTTGTGAAACTTATGGAAGATGTCAATTTCACATGAAACAACGCAGTTTTAGAAGAGGGAGAGAAGCACACCCCTGCTATACTCAACGATTCGCCATAAAATTACTTACGATGTTTCTGGCAACCGTCAACGTTCTCGGGCCAGTCGCAGGAGTGGGCGTTCTCGTTGTACAGCAGACCGCCGATGCACAGTTGCTCTGTGGCGGTACCATTCCAGCAAGTCCAGTAGCGCGTACAAGATGTCTCGTGTCCGAAGATACCGTACAGCCAGTCGCAATGCTCGGTACCTATAGGATTATCTAGAACAAAACACATCTGTGAACTAAAGGTAGAAACCCTGTGCATTAATTTTATTACTAAACGTAGAAGAATGTGGCTTTGGGTGATGATAAATCAGAGAATACAAATCGAAAAACTTGCAGTAAAGTCACAATAATCACACCATGATATTGACCAAAGACTCCCATAACATCAAAGACATAGATAGCATCTTTAGGTAATAAGAATGATTTCAAGAGTCTACTAGTAAAAAAATAGATGATATAAGCTGTACTCACTTATTTGAACCTTCGGATATTCACAGTAATTTGATCTCCAAGGATAGTCGCAACCCTCGGTGACGCCTCTGTGCTTCCCAGCGAAGACCAAACCATTAGGACAGTCGTATTGCACCGCCTGACCGTTCTCACACTCCCAGTATTTGTCACAGTACTTGTCGTCAGATACTACACGAGATTTTGTCTTGCAAGGGTCCTCTGATTGTGCGCATGATACCACAGCACAACTTGCCAGGAACACTGAAAAGAAAGAAAAAACAATAAAAAACAAAATAATATCAAAAAAACCAATACACTAAAAAGTAACGAAATAATTCCTTGAATTAGCTGTTATGTCTATATTGTACGTTTATTTTTACTTTGATGTCTGTGTCAGCCGAGATACGCAGTGATATTTTTACGTAAGGATTTCTACATTTTTCACATAGGAATTGGCATACGCAGTTGAAAGTATAGTAACGTAAGTAATGAATCTACGTTGACTAAAACCGTCTTCAAAGTAATAAATAGGAAATCGATCAAAAATAGTCTAGTTTTAAAATTATGCTTTTAATAGTGAAGAAAACATTATTAATTTAATATTGCTGTGATTTTGTTTTAAAATCTTGTCGTAGGAATTCTAACACATGTAATGACTCTCATGGCTCTTCTAAAGTCTTTGAAAGAGTTTTTTTTTTGTACATATCTATAGTTTGCCTATTACAACCTTAAGTTTTTGTCTTCGACTATAAATACGACCAAGTTTCTGTTCGTATTGCGTAAGTTGAAGACTTATGTAACAGTTCCTCCGGGGCTCTATAATAGTAAATATGTTCTATATGTCGTAATGTATATTTAGTTTGAATATAATTCGACCTCCAAGCCGTGCTCGAGATGTAAATTACATGTGATTAAATTACGTGGCGTGAGAGGTCACTGCAGAGATGGTAGCAATACATCTCGGATAAACCAATACAATTGTAATCTATACTATAATAAAGCGTAAACACACTACTTTGCGGCGTAGTATGTTAGCAATCACAATATGTATTTTAATAATTCTTTCATTAATAAAAAGCCCTACACTTACGGCACGCTTTAGTCTATATATTTTCACGCTTTTGAACTTAGGGGATAAATTAATTTAAAAAAAAACCTTCATATGGAAAAGGTACTATAAACTACAAGCTGCCAACATTACGAAAGCAACGTTATTTTGGTAACGGTAATTTTTACATTTGCATTTGAGAATTTTACAAATGTAAACAATAAAATAAAATTATACACATATACACGACACGATTCGTAATAATTTAACATGTAAGTAAAACGTAGAAAATGGGATAATCAACAATAAATAACATTCCTCGTAACGTAAAGGAAATTACATATTTAGTTGCTGTAAAATGATTTCCTTTTCATAACATAGTGCGACTATGTACTCAACAGGCTTAGTGTAGATTTTTATACCAAATGACACACAGCCTTTTAAAAAACGCGGTATAAAGATAAGCTTAAGAATAAACTGAGTATAAGCAATAATACTAACAGTATAAGTACAGTAGTACAGCAAATCTGCGTCAAATACGAAGTCTATGTATATAAAATAGTTTAACTACAGCGAAAGTTTACCTTAATGAGTAGTCGTTAGTCGCACATATAGAGTGGTAACTGGTCATAACCGTTTGCATTTCCCGTGCGACTTGTTTCCGTTGCGAGAACAGTTATTTATAACTCTGCGACATTTCGTATTTATATGTTAGTTCATAGCTTGAATATCAAAAGGTCAAAATTAAAACTTTGTATGCGAAATTCAAATTTATATATGCGAATGTTTGTATGTTGAAGGTATCTCCTACACGACTTGAGAAATCTCCACAATTTCGCATAGATGTAGAGCATACTTTAGAAGATCATATAGGATGCTTAACCATTTTTTTTTCAATTTAATGTGAACGGAGTTACGGACGACAAATAGCATTAGATACTTTGCCACCTGTTCAAATTTATTCATACATATGTGGAGGTCTTCATAGATCTACATTTGTTGTTCAGTTTTGCACAGATTATAGAATATTATAGACTGTTTTTGGGCGATTAAAGTTAAAGGACATTTAAGAAAGGTTTTATCTATTGTAAGAATTTATTTTTTATTTCATCCTTGCTTATATATCGTTTTATAAATGGCTTATTTGTTTACATAAGTACGATTTTCAATCACAATTTAAGACAAAAAAACAGAAGTAATGAATAGTGCTACAATTTAATGTTTCAAGCAGGTTTGGAATTCAAGGTTTGTTTGTTCTAGATCTTAACAAATACTTGAAGATTTCAAACAAAAACAGAGAAACTTTGTAGACAAAATTGTTAGTCCTGAGTTATCTAACTGTTTAAAATGTAGGAATATTTGTGAAAAGATGAGTACATCTTATTACGTGTGAAGGAGGCAAATACATTATGTCACGAATGGCCAGTGAAAGCGCTTCCGAGTTGCATAACAAGCTGTTCGTTCTGACATTGAATGTCCTGCATTCTATTTGACGTAAGCCTTAATATGGCATTTAAATCTTGATGGAATATCACAGTTAAAACAATTTTAGCCAATTAGCCTTTGCCCGCTACTCCGTTTGGGAATTAAAAAGTTAGCAAGTAACCTATGTGTTCTTTCAGACTATGTTTTTTAATTTGTGCATGTCGATCCGTAGAGCCATGCTAGAGAGACCTTTTAATAATTTGTTAATAACGTAAACTTTTGTATTTATAATGTAAGTAAGAAGTAGGATTTTTAGTACATTTACCCCTATTGTTAGCATCGTTATTCTTATGGCTCTCTCTTCAGTCTGGTGTTTTAAGTATATTATTGTTTGAGAGGATTTTCAATTTTGAACTCTGCGTGTTCACTACAAAGTTTAATTCGGTGTATAGCATATTGCTTAAGATGTTCTCTTATAGGCTGAGACGTTTAAATACTTGATGCTTTTGGACATTATTTGGTATGTCTTGTCTATTTTATATTTTATTCATACATTTTATAGACTTACTAGCTGTCCCCGAGCGGCCTCATCCGCATGAAATTATGAAAAATTATCAATAGCAAATGTCAAAATGACATGACATTACAAACCTTGGAAATCTTGCTTCTTGATGTTGGCAGCAACTTATGGTCTCTTTCCCACATTAGGGTTTTTATTCAAAATATATACCCCCTAAGTTTAATGGCGTGAAAACATATAGCCTAAAGCGGGAGGTAAGTGTAGGGCTTTTTGAAAAAATATTCAGAAATATGTTGTAATTGCTGACATCTTAGGCAACAAAAAAGTGTGTGTTTACGCTTTATTATAATAGTATAGATTATGAAAAATATCCTTAAGAACGGTCGCACACCTTTACTAAACTTTCGCGCAACTGATGTGCGATTATAGATTGTCAATTGTTTTGTAGCTTTATTCAACTGTTTTGTTGCACATCTGAAAATTGAGTAGTGTACTTCCATATAAGCTTTTTTTTTATACCATAAGATGGCAAACGAGCACGCGGCCATCTGAATCCGCCAAAATGGCGAAGCGACCGCTGCCCATAGACATCTGAAATTGCAGATGCTTCGCTTACCCTTATCCGACGGAGGAGGAGACGCATATAAAGAGGATATTTCCTCTTCCTATGCATCTCCTCCATCATCAAATCCACTTCCCCTTCCCATCCTCTCATAACAAAAGGGTGGTAAAGAGAAAGGGACTTAAATTAGGCCTCCGGCACCACACTCATCAGACGAAACACGGCATTGGTTCCATTTCACGCCTGTCTTCTGTGCGGTCGTGGTATTACACCGAGCGTGCCGGCCCATTCGTGCTAAGATGTTAAAGCGGGCACTACCACTGTTGAGTTTAATTAGATCAAACAGTTGTGCGATCGTATAGTCGAAGGCGTGGGTGCGCTCTTAATACAACTTTGCGTCTTTGCCAAATCTTATAACATATTAGATATCAAATTTATTAGAAGTATACTATACATGAATTATTCATAAGTTTTACAATACATTACGAAACCGCTACTTTTCTAAGATTTAGGATATAATAGATTTTAGCGAATATTTTCTTTTGGAAGCAACCCAAGAAGAGAAAGAAATCATTGTTCATTTTCCTTTATTGTTCTTATAAGTTAAAATATACGTACTGGCTGTAGATGTAGATTTATGTATTTTAGTTTTTTTTATGCCAAAAAGGGGCATACCAAATAGTAACTCTGTAACGTTTTTGTTTTATAATATAAGGTGGCAAACAAGCAAGCGGCCACCTGAATCCACCGAAATGGAAAGCGACCGTTGTTCATAAACATCCGCTATTGCAGATGCGTTGTCTACCTTTCATTGACAGAAGAGGAGACGCACATAGAGCCATCCTCTCCTCGGTCTAGTGTGTCAATACGATATGCACTTGATATTTCCATTTCCGCAATATTCTTGCATGTAAATATATCTTAGTAAA